CGGGGCCCAGGGGCAGTGGGGCTGCCAGCTGCCCCAGGAACTCCCGGACCCGGGAGAACTCATAGTGAGTCACGCTGGCTGAGCTGTCCAACAGAAAGAGCAGGTCCCCCTGGGGGGCTGCTGCCCGGGGCCCTAGGGGAGAGGGGAGGGTTCAGCCAGGTGGGGACTCCAGGCAGCCCCACACCCACGGCAGCTCCCCCAGCCGGAGCTCCACCCCAGGAGGCCCTGAAAGCCTGCTCAGTCCCTCCCCAAAGGTCCTGGGGTGGCATCCCCGGGGCAGAGGGGTCCAAGTCTCAGGGGTTCCGCTCTGCACCCTGGCCATGTCCCTGGGGCACTCTCTGGGCTCCGGTCTCGTCTGTGAAGCAAAGCCGGCCCCTCCGAGCCCCCACGGCTAACTGCAAGCAGGCAGGAGCCATGGGTCCTGGCCCAGCTCAGGAGGGGCGAGCGGACGGCCCGGGTGGTCAGGGCTGCTCCCTCAGGCTTGTCTTCAGCCACACAGCTCAGCCCCCAGGTAAGGCAGCAGGTGGGACATAGCGGGGGGCGAGGGGGTGTTGCAAAGCAGCTCAGAAGAGGAAGGCTGGGGAGGAGGGAGAGATGGGGAGACAGCACTGATCGCAGGCCCGCCCACAGCCCAGATGGCCGGGCTGCAGTTCTAACCCCACTCACAGATGATGTCACCCCTCCCCGGGCCCCCAGCCCCTGCTCCATCTGGACCCCGGAAGCGAGTTACCTGCTCCATCAGCCTGAGGTCCCCCCAGCGCCTCCCGGCCGCCCCTTCCTCCCCACACCCCTGGAGCGGGAGGCAGATGGGCCCCTCCACCCCGGGCCATGGGCAGACGGGGACTGGGGTGTCTTGGTTCTGGTTTAGGCCCAGGGGCCTCAGGTTTCTCTAGTTCGGTGGGGCGCCTCCAACCTGCTTGTCATCCCTCTAGGAAGGGTCATTCCAAGGAGAGGGAAACTGAGGCCGGGCAGCCTCCTGGACAGACACCTCCCCGTCTCGTCCAGGCCCCTCGATCCGGTGGCGATGCCGACC